CAGGACACTCTCCCCTCCCCAGGACACTGTCACCTCTTCCCATTCCCACCCCCAGCCTCACGTCTCTCCCCACATGCCCAGGCCATGCTGGGAGAGCAGAAGCAGAGCGTGACTGTCCCCTGTGCTCTTCCCAGCCTGTTCCTGCTCCTGTCATTGCTCTGTCCGGGGGGTTGTGAGCAGGTTGGGATGGCAGGGAATGCTCCATGGGGCAGTGTTAGGCACTCCCAGTGCACTCCAAACTCCTGCATTGCCTGTGGATCCAGCCTGGTTTGATAACCAGGATCCATAGGTAGATGTAGAACTTTACCACACTTGAGAGGCATTCTGGGACCAGATCAAATTCCATTCATGGATTCATATCTGTCTTATTCCCCCATACCACTTGATCCTGGAGAAGCAGGAAAACACTTTCAAATGGCTTTCCCCCAAAATATCTTGCCAGTCCCTATGAAGGGATTCCTGAGGGATTTTAAGCTGGTTTATCCTTGTATTGGTAAGGGCCTGCTCCTCCAGCCTGTCCAGCCCCTCTGGGTGATCCATACAGCCCAAAGTCAGAAATTGGCTCAGAGAAGCAGCTTGAAGCCTCAGTGTTTTCTCTTGCCACATGTCCTTCCTGTCCCTGTTCCCTTTAGGGAGATTGTGCTGGCCTCACACCTGAAGCCCCTGGAGAAGAAGGACAGGCTGGGACAGAGGAGGAATGTGCTGTGGAATCCCTGTGCAGCCCTGGCCAAGACAGCACCTGCCCACACTGTGGAGATCCCACAGGTGAGGGCGAGGCTGCCAGGACCATCCACAACTGGAAATGACTTGGGAATCATCTGGGTGTTAATTGGAATGCAAGAGTTACTCAGGTCTCACTCTGGGTGCAAGCCAGCCCTTCTGGGCCCCTGGAATATCAGGGTTTGGATCAGCATGGGGTCAGGCTGGGCTCCTTCAGGAAGAGTCCGCTCCATCCCTGTGGGAATGGACTGGCTGCACACCCTGGACCCAGAGCTCCCAGTGCCCCCATGGTGGCCAGGAACAGTCTGTGGGGGCTGTCTCTCCTGGCTGGGAGCAGCTCCCAGCTCCAAACCCAGAGCCAGGGCTGTGCCCCAGGATCCTCCCCGGAGCAGCCTCCAGCTGCAGAGTCCCTGAGCACAGGCTTTGCCCATGGTTTAAGGATCATGGAAAAGGGCTGGGTTGGGTTAATCCTGACCGTGCCTGACAAGCTCTCTGAGTCGCTCAGTGGTGGGAAACAGGGACAGGACATTTTCTGTCCCAGTTGTTTGTGATTGGAGTCACCTCAGTCCTGCCCCTGCTGTGGGCTCTGTCCACACTGGAGTGTCCTGGTCACTGGATGTTTCCCATGGATGTTTCACATGACAAGGCAATTTTATGGATTGCCTTATAAACAATCCCAAGGATTGTTTATGGTGCTGGGTTTCATTGGCCTGTGTTTATTACAAGATCTTTTGCAACTCTCCTGAGCAGCATTGTGTTTCCTTGGACTGAGCAATGATCTCCCCAAGCAAATCCTGCTCCCAGTCCCATCAGCACCAGGCTCAGATCTCCAGAGCTTTTCCCCTCTGTGCTCAGCCCCAGCTGATGTCACTTTGCCTTGTTCCCTGGCTGTAGAAAAGCTGCACATTTGCCTCTTCCTTCAGCCTGTGCATCAGTGACCCAGCAGGGATGGGCTCAGCAGTTAATTAGAGCTGGTATAAAATGGGATTTCCTTTACCTCAGCCTCTGCTCTGCCACAGAGCCACCAATGCTGGGTGGTACCAGGCAGGGCATCTGCACGTCTTCTGGGATTTGCATCTCCCACCTTTTCTCTGCCACTCCCTGTTTTTTCCTTTCAGTGCTCAGTGTTCCCTGTCCTGATCTCCATGAGATCCCATCCCAGGCAATGCTGGTAGATCCAGAGTCTGACTCTGGTTGGGCTTGGGGTCACTCCACAACCATCTGTCTTCACACTGGGTGTTACATCTCATCCCCACTCCCCTTTTCCCCCTGGGGGTCCCTGGTTTCTTAGGGTTAAAGGCACCTGGCATTTCCTTGTCTTCCCCTTTTCCTCCTCAGCAGCTCCTCGAGCTGTCCTGGTAAAAACATCTCAGGGTTTGTGTCTGTGGGCTGATTGGTGTGAGGGGATCGAAGTCTTGAAGAGGGAACGAAACAAAAGGATCTGAGTGTCTCCTTTCTCCTTCAGGAACTGGATCAGCTGCCTGGGACTGCTGCAGAATTTCACAGAGATTGGCGCAGATACTTGAAAAGTGGGACAGAGAAATACCAGTTTTTGCTGGAGCTCGGAGGGGAGGCCTTGGGCAGGATCTTCCAGGCTGATGTGGGCTTTGGTCTCCTGGGGGAATTCCTGACAGTGCTGGCAGAGAACATCCGTCCCAGAGACAGAGCTGCCATCCTTCAGATCCTGCAGAGCCTGGCGGGCACCAAGCGCTTCGGGCTGAACGTGGCTCTCCTGAGCCAGGCGGAGAAGGAGAGCAGCCAGGATTTGTTCAGGAAGCTGCAGAGCAGGGATTGTCAGGCTGCTGGCCAGCCTGGTGGCCTGGCCAGCTGTGAGGCAGGGAGGGAAGCCCATCCCATGGAGACCCACTTGGAAAAGGAAACTGAGGAGGAGAGGACAGTGGTGGAGTTGATGAAGCGTTACCAGGTCAGCTGAGGGAACAGGAACACCAGGATTGAGCAGAAACAGGGGAAAAGTGGCTTAAAAAAACCTCAAAGCTTGACTTTGGCATCACCCAAGTCACAAGTTCTGTACAAATAAAGTTTAGCTCTCAAGCTGTGATGCTGTCATCTCTGAGCAGAGTGTCCTCATGGATGGGTATGGGAGAGTCTCTTGGGTAAGGAGAAAACCAAGGGAAAGAAAACATTGGGTGGTAGTTTTGCAGGAGAAACCCAAACCCAGATAGTCTCTTTCCTCTTCCACCCCATCCACAGTCACTGAGGGGTTTTAGGAGATGTCATGGATGACAGTGATGACTGTCAGGTCCATTTCTTCCCAAACCCAGTGCAGCAAATGGCAGAGTCACCCTGGCAGACTGGAACCACCTACTCCCACCTGCCCTGGAGAAACCACCAGGTACCTGATGGCAGGGCCCAGGTTCACCCCTGAGGCCTGGCACTGGCCTTTGTGGCACCACTTGAGGGGACATGTGTGTCCCTGCACTCTGCTGCAGTGCCATTCCTCCTGCCTTTGCACAGCTGAGGACAACTGAGGGCTGGAGACTACAACAAAAGAAGATCCTGGAGTTACCCAAGATTGGGATGGAGGATTTTGATGCCAGAACAGCTCTGGCACAACAGCCACAGCTCTGGTGGGAACAGGCACACTGCTTGAGTGGTGCCAAGCCTCAGGGTGAGGATGTCGAGGCTGGGAGCAGCCTGCTGCATCCCCACCTCTTGGGAAAGGCAAAATCCCTGGGGTTTGGAGGGAAGAAGTGCAGGAGAGAAATTCAGGAGAAATGCAGTGGAGCAGAGATTGTGTGAATGGTGACAGAGGATGGGGCTGTGAGACCCACCGGGACCCTTTCCAGGTCGGCCAGTTCTGGGACCTGAGCTGAGGGGCCAAGCAGGGTCTGTGAGGAGTAAACATGAGCTTCATCATCATTATCCTTGCCCATGTGGGCACTCAGTCAGGATCAGTGGGGAGGAAATATCATCATCATCATCAGCCTTGGCCACATGGGCACTGCAGAACCCATCCAGGCTGGAACATGATCCCCACAGGGCATTTGGGCACCCTGGACCATCCTCCCATTGGAAATTCCCGATGTTCTGGCCACCAACAGTCAAACACTGCCAAGTCTCTGCTCTCCCTCCCCTCAGGGCAGGGGTGGGACAGCAAGGACTGATGTGGGAAACTCCCTGTTTTGGCACAGCTCAGTAGGGACAGGCACAATTTGACAGTGCCAGGGTTTGCTGCAGGTGGGATTTCACACTGACAGGATTTGTTCCTGGCTCTGCCACTTGTTGGCAGTGGGAGTTAAAGCTCACTAAAGTCCTTCTCAAAAGAAAACTTGGAGCTGGTACAAGACATTCTGGCCAAACTCTGGAGAGTTCTTGATCCGCAAGAGTGATTTATTACAGCGGTTTTTCTAAGAGGCTGCTAAAAACATCCACCAAACTATTTAAATCCAACTAATACTTGCTTTTGTCACCCTTGTTTGCCTTGTTTTCTGTGTTGAGAACTGTGTGTCCCAAACCCTTCATTGTTCCTTTTGAGCTCCTCAGCTGGAGCAAACCCATACCTTTTCTTTTTTTACTTCTTATTTTGGTGGGGTTGTTTTGATTTTTTTTTAACTTGTGAAGGAGAAGTATTTTTCAAACTGATCTGATGATTTTCTTCAGAAATGGCTGATTTCAGGGTGTTTTTAACTTGCCCGATTACAGTTCCCGAGGAGCTGGGAGTCAATGTTTGTGCCTGACAAAGTCATCTCAAACATCCCCCAAGGGTTGTGACATCTCTGCAGGGTTTTGGTGGACACTGAATCCTCAGCATGGAGCAGGATGTGCCCTCCAGGCCATCTCCTTTTTCTGAGGATGTGGCTTGAGGATTTCAGCAAAAATCCCTTTGTCCAGGAGGGCACTGAGGGTCTCAGTGGTGCTCTGGCCCCTGAACCGTGTCAGTGATGTGCAGCATCTCCAGTCCACCCTCAGCCCCAACAGCTGCAGCAAGTCCTGGGAGCTTCCCAGGAGCTGCAGCCTGGGACTGTGTGGGCAAGGAGCTGGGTTTGAGGGTGAAGAACCCCCAGCAGATCCCTGATTCCCATCCTGGGAAGGGGATCTCTCCCACCCCACTGCCGTGGGCGTTATCCCTGCACCCCCCTCCCCTCTGTTCAGTCCCTTGTGGGTGTTGGCCCCTGGAGTGCCCTGGGGCTCAGCCCTGAGCACATCCCCCTGCAAGATCAGGATTGGTTTGGATTCCCAGAGGTCCCCACCACCCCAGATAATCCCAAATCCCACGGCGCTGGCTGCAGAGAGGTGGATGCAGGCACAACCACGGAAGCCAAGTGTGCTCATTAGCTTTATTCTCATCCCGAGCTGCGGCAGCGTTAGTGCATTAATTCGGTAGCAAGGGAAGCTGCTCACGGTGTCCCAGCCCTGCACCATCCCCCTGCATTCCCACCCTGGGACCACCCAGAACACCTCCTGCCCTGGGAACAGCAGTTATGGGGCTGGGTGTTGCGTTTCTGGAGTCAGAGCAAAGCTGCTCAGCACCTGACCAAGGTGACCGAGGGGACAGCACCCAAGGGCAGCTGTCTGCTCATCCCCAAGGATGACAGGGCACGGGAAGTGCTGCTGGCTCATTGCTCCTATGTCAGGTGGCATCAGGCAGGTCCTGCTCGTGGTCAGGGGCTGCAGTGAAGGTGGGGACAGGGCTGTGGGCGAGCACCAGGCTGGGCAACGACCCTGGGGGAGGACAAATGGGGCACAGGGCCCCGTGCAGCCCAGGGACAAGGGGTTTCTTCCAATCCCATCCTGGATGCCCATGGAGGGGGTGACTCAGGCTCTGTGTGGGGCAGGGACTGTGGCTGGGGCAGCCCCAGTCCCCAGAGCCCCTGGCTCCCAGTGTGACCCCCCAAGTGACGAGACTCCTCTGTCACTCCTTAGTTGCAGGTGGCACCTTGTGCTGTGAGACCCTCACAGGTGCTCTGACAGCTTCCTTCTCCTCCTCTGCACCCCTCTCCACTCCATTTTCACCTGCATGAGATTCCCCCAGCACAGGGCTGTGGGTCACCCCTCACCATGAGCTCCTCACATCTGGTTTTTCCTGCCGGTGTTGGGGATGCCTTGGTGACAGTCACCCAGCCCCATGGCTCTGTGCCAGAAGAAGCCTTTGAGGCCACTGTGTAGCTCCACAACCCACCCCAGACACCCCAGCACCCTCAGGAACCCCTCCTGATGCCAGTTTTGTCACCCCCTGACACCATCCCAAGAGCAAACTGCTTCTCCACGCTTCCCCTTCCTTTCCATCATCCTCTTCCATCCTCCCCTGCCTCTCCATCCTCCCCTTCCTCCTGCCCCTGCCTCCCAGCTGAGTTCACCCAGTGCTTGGTGACAGGGAAATGTCCCTCTCCAGCCGGTACCTCGCACCCTCATCCCCCCATCCCAGGGTGCTCAGGGTCCAGGTGCACCGGGCAGATCCAGGGAGGTGTCCCAGATGGATGCAGGGACATTGCTCTTGCCACCATCGTGTTGGGAGATTGAAAGAGGACAGACTCTCCCTGGAGACCCAGGATGAGGCAGGAAGAGCCCCCAAACCCCAGTGCCCCGTGCTGTGGGAATGTGGCAGCATCCCGAGGGGTGCACGGGAGGGAGATGCCCCCTCCGAGCAGGCACCGACCCCTCCCGTGCCCCGAGCCCCCTGCCCTGCCCTGCCCACCGGGAGGGACCGACGGAGCGGCTGCTGCGGCTACGGCACCTCCTTGTGCTCCTGCTTGGACTCCTTCAGCACCTGCGGGTGGAGGCAGAGGGACCGGCAGCTCGGGGTCGGGTTCTGCCACCGGCTGAGCCTGCCCGGGCTCTGAACGAGCTTGGGGACAGGGACAGGGACAGTTTTCTCTGTGAGCTGCCAGCCTCAGCTCCACCAGGACCCAGAGCCAGATCATGCCATACTCTCAGGGATCACTGCCTCCCTGCCTGGGCTGCTCGTGGGGCTCAGGAATGGTGGCCCCATGTGCAAGTCCCCTGGGGACACCCTGTGGGGAGGTGGGGATGGAGCGTGGGTGACACAAATGAGAATTTCCCACCTCTCCATCTCGTGTCTCCACAGTTTTGACCACGATGCTCCTCTTCACATGGGCTTCTGACACAGATTTGGTGTCCAGGCTGGTCTCTGGGGAACACGGGCAGGACAAGGCAGTGACATCCTGCCCAGGGCATGGCCATTCCAGCCACACTCAAGAGAAGCCCAAAGAAAACTGTTTGGGCTGAAGACCCCTGAACCATGAGAGACAGCAGCCCTGGAGACACAACCAGCCTCAGGGACAGGGTTGGCCTCGGGGGTGTGGGAGGCTGTGGGATCTCATGAGTCCTGTGGACACACTTGGGCTGCAGGGACAGCTGGGGACATTTCTGGCCTTGGAGATTTCGTCAACCATGGGTGGCTTTGGGCTGTGATTGAGCTTGGGGACAGGGTTGTCCTTTGGGACACAGCTGGCCTTCGGGGTGTGGTTGTCATTGAGGACATGATGATGTGATCATCATCATCAGCCCTGGGGACATGTTCAGCCTTGGGGACATGGCCATGGCACCCTCCTCCCCCCACCCTGGGGGCTCCCAGGTGTCCAGGTTCCCTGAGATTCAGAGAAAATGGTCCCTGTAAATGGAGCAGGGATGGCCAAGGTGGCTTCTCCTGCCACAGAGTCCCCAGAAGCCACCTCTGTGCCACCATCCCGCACCCCCCTCCCACGCGTGGGGCGCAGCCTCACCTTGGATCTGCAGGCTGGAGAAGCTCTGCACAGGGATGGTGATCCTGCAGGGGCAACAGGAGCATTGGGAACAGCACGAGGTCCTGCTGCCCCCCAGCTCCTGCCTGGGGCTGTGGCAGCAGGGCTGGAGGATGGTCCCCAACCCAGCCAACCCAGAGGGACCAGGAGGACTTGGGCTTGGTTAGGAGCATGGCTGGGGTGGGAGGTGCAGGTGGAACTGTCACCTGCTCTCCTCGCCCTCCAGCAGCTTGCGGTACGTGGCGATCTCGATGTCGAGGGCCAGCTTGACGTTGAGCAAGTCCTGGTAGTCCTGCAGGTGCTGGGCCATCTCCTGCTTGAGGCTGTGGATGTCCTCCTCCAGCCGCACCACTGTGTCCTGGTAGCCAGCCGTCTCCAGGGCATAGCGCTCCTCCAGCTCCCGCAGCTGCCTCTCCAGGGACTCGTTCTGGGGGGCCACGGGGGGCCGTGACACCCTCCATGGCCACCTTCTCCTGAGAGCTGGGTGCTCTCCCCAGTGCCCGTCCATCTCCCACCCTCGGCACCAGCCATTCCCCTGGCATTGGGTGGTGGTCCTGCCAGGGAACCCCCGGATGCTGGCAGCTCCCTGAGCCCGTGTCCCTGGCCTTGCACCCCACAGCTGTCACCTACCGAGCCCCGCAGAGCCTCCAGGTCGCAGGTGAGGGCCTGGAGCTGGCGCCGGTACTCGTTGGCCTCCTGCTTGGCCACCCTCAAGGCCTCGGCGTGTCGGGCGGCCGCGTCCGTCAGATCTGCAAACTGGGACAGGGGATGAGCGCCATGGGGTGGGACCACAGGGCAGGGATGGGTTCTGGTGTGGGAACACAACCATGCTCTGCTCCACAGCAGGGACATGTGGCAAGGAGAGACATCCCTGGCACAAGTGGGGACAGCAGAGATCCTGAACCCCACACACCACCGAGAACCACCCACCCCGGGTGATCAACCCCAGCCCCAGGAGGGGACAGCCAGGCCATCCATCTCTGGGGCAACCAGCTCCCACTGCACCTTGGACTTGTACCACTCCTCGGTCTCCTGGACATTGCTGGCGGCCATGGCCTCGTACTGGCTGCGGATATCGCGCAGGGCGGCCGTCAGGTCCGGCTTGCTCACGTCCACCTCCACGTGCACCCGCTGCCGGGCCAGCTGCTCCTGCAGCTCCCGCAGCTCCTGTGGGGACAGGGGGGTCAGGGCAGCCCCCTGAGCCCCGGGATCCCCAGCCCCAGAGCGGGGTTACCTCCTCGTGGACCTTGTGGAGGAAGGCGATCTCGTCCTGCAGGGTCCCCACGCGCCGCTCCAGGTCCAGGCGAGCCAAGGCAGCATTGTCCACGTCCTGTCACCATGGGGGCACACGAGGAACTGTCCCAGCTGGCCACCCAGCTCTCTCTCCTCAGCTGCCTGGTCATGTCCATTCCCTCCCACTCCCACCCAGCACTGCCTCTCTCTGCCCATCATAGCATTTCCCAGTCCCT